TGAAATAAAAATACACTTATGACTAAAATCAAGTCAACTCTTGTTTGCGTTTATGCATCTGATAGTGGATCTTAAGATTGTGTGCCTGAATGGTGCGGAACTCACATCCGGGCCATACGCACACATTGGGCTTCTCATTAGTGTGGGTCAGCTCGTGGTGCTTGTATATGGCCTTCAATCGGAAGCGTTGTCCACATCCGGGCCATTGGCACTCGTATGGACGGACACCCGTATGGATCCGCTTGTGTTCGTGAAGCGCGCGATTCGTTTTGCACGCATAGCCACAGGCGGGCCATTCGCACCGTTGCATCAGATGAGTGGCCTTATGGTCAGTGATCTTATGGGACAACAGTTTATACGGACTCCGGAACCACTGATTACAGCCTTCATAGCGACACCGAAACGGGTCTTTCACTGAATGCACTTTCCTATGAAAGTTGAGCCGATATATCGATTTGAATGTCTTCAGGCATTCGTCGCATTTGTATTGATTGCCGTGAAGTGAATGTCTATGAAGTGTATGGATATCGAGACTGGACTTAGTCTTCGACTTATAGCCGCAGTCCTTCTCCGGACACTCGTAAGGCCTGAGATCGCTGTGAAAGCCGTTTACGTGAATCTTCAGTGACTGTCTTGTAGTAAACCCTTTACCGCACGTACTGTACGGACACCAGAATCGCTTCTTCTGGTGATGCGATCGATGGAAGTGTTTATACAGATTTCTATTCACTTTAAAGCCTTTATCGCAGTAAGGATTGGGACATAAGTAGAGTTTGGTCTTCGGATCGAAAGTACTTCTTCGTAATAATAACAGTGAATTGGGTTCCGATTCGGGATCAGGTATTACAAAAACCTTTGGCTCGGGTTTGGCTTTTGGGACACGATTGGGATCTTTTGGTTTCCTCTTGAGGTTTGGATCCCTTGGTTTCGTCGGTCTCTTTATTTTGTAGTTTTTGGGTGAAGTACTTCTTCCACTTCTTCTAACGTTTGTCTCAATTGTTGTTTCATTTGTTTTGATTGTCTTTTCCTCAGAAGAAGTGGTAATCGTTTCATCACTACTTCGCACAACTAATGGACTCTTTATTTCATGTGTTTTCTCGACAACAATTTTATCACTTTTTGAGATCTGCTCTTCGAGTGATGTTTTGTCTGTGAATTGACTCAATGTTTGGATCAAATGATTGAAGAGTTGTTTGTCTTCTGCGGTAATAATTGTCTCCAATTTATTGCAAATAAAATTCAAATGAGTTTTCAATTCATTGAGACATTTGTTTGCAAACAATAACTCATTTAAAAGTCTATTGTTTTCATGCCTTAAATCATCCAAAATATCATTAATACTAATCATAACTGACTTCTGGTTTCCATCAAATGAGTTTTCAATTCATTGAGACATTTGTTTGCAAACAATAACTCATTTAAAAGTCTATTGTTTTCATGCCTTAAATCATCCAAAATATCATTAATACTAATCATAACTGACTTCTGGTTTCCTTTTAAACTCATCTCTCATTCAAAACAACATTTAATTCACAATTAAATCACAATTTATACCAAAACTCAATTCAAATCACATTTTATGTCAAATATTTTGTATTAATAACCAAATGTTGAGACAAATGCCATAAACAGAGGGATTGTCTCACAATTTAAATAACGTTCAATACTTTTAGTGTTGTATTAAATGAAAAGTTTTATTTAATTTATAATACATTAATAAAATTAAAACTAATTAAATCACTTTTGATGTACTTTCATATGTTTCTTAAGATTAGCGCCAATAACACATCGATAGCCACATCCGGGCCAATGACACACATAGTTCTTCGTATTTGAGTGGATCCGCTCGTGATCTATGCGACCCTTTCGTATACGAAACCGTTTGCCACACGCCGGCCACCGGCACTCATAGGGCCGCTCACCCGTATGGATACGTCTGTGCATATTTACGAGTTCCGTCCAATTGGACCGATAGTCACATGCGGGCCATTCGCAGGCGTATACCACTTGCGTCGAGTTGTGGACCACTATCTTATGCCTCCGGAGTTGGAATGAATTCCTAAAGAACTGATTGCATCCCTCGTAACGACATTTAAAGTTGTCTTCATTTCCGTGAAGTTTTAGATGAAAGTTAAGTCTGTATTGAGTTTTGAATGTTTTCTCGCATTCATTGCATTTGAATGAATGGATGTCTGAATGAATGACTGAATGGGAATTAAGTATTGACTCAGTTTTACACTTAAAATCGCAGCCCTTTTCCGGGCACTCAAAGGGTCGGTAATCGCTATTTTCGTGAATATTGTTTTCATGGCTTTGAAGCTCTTTCTTTGTCTTAAAACTTTTACCACAATTTAATTCGTGACAAATAAATTTCTTCTTCATGTGATGGACATTATGGAAGTGTTTGTATAATCGCATAGTATTTCTGTATCCTTTACGGCAGTGAGGGTTAGGACACATAAACTGCTGTGTCTTCGGGTCGTAATTATCTCTTCGTAATAATAGGAGTGAATTGGGATCCGATTCGGGATCTGGTATTACTTTGGGTTCCGGTTTGGGTTTCGGGACATGATTTGGATCTTTAGTTGTCTTCAGTACACATGTGTAGACTTTGCGATCAGTTCTTCCACTTCTTCTAACATTTGTCTCAACTATTGTTTCATTTGTTTTTTCTTCAAAAGAAGTGGTAATCGTTTCATCACTTCTTCGCACAACTGATGGACTCTTTATTTCAGTTGTATTCTCGACAACAGGTTTGACAACAATTTCATCACTTCTTGGGATCTGCTCTTCGAGTGATGTCTTGTCCGTGAATTGACTCAATGTTTGGATCAAATGATTGAAGAGTTGTTTGTCTTCTGCGGTAATAATTGTCTCCAATTTATTGCAAATGAAATTCAAATGA